AGGTTGTTGGACGAAGAAGAAGGAGCAGCCAGGGTGGTCGACAAGCAGCTCTGCGTATGTGAGTGTGTGTGTGTCGACAAGGAAAAACCATGGACGTGCTTGAGGGGAAAGCCATGGATGAGCTTGGAGAAAATGGAGAGGAAGAAAGAGGGGAGGGGGGGTAGCTTTAGGTGTTAGGGTTTTTGGAGTGAAAAATGAAAAAAATGGGAAGATAGGGGTGTTGGGTCTTTGGGGTTATGGACTGGGTCGACCCGGTTTAAAATGAACCGGGTCATGGGGAAGGTTGGGTATTTTTTGGGCCTGTGGCTTGAATTTGAAAAAGAGTCCAATTCCGATTTTCTTTATATTTTTTTCTCTATTTTCTTCTACTTTCTAATTAATAAAACTAAAATTCTGAATTAAGTTATAAACTAAATTAACTTATCAAAAAATACTAATTAATTCCAAATAACTATTATCGCATATTTAATAGAAATTAACGATAAAATCGCACAATTTAGACGTTAAATGCTAAAATGCAACGTTCATTATTATTATATTTTTTTTAATAATTTTTTTATTTTTGTAAAAACAAACTTAAATAAATACTAAACGAAAATGCGACCTATTTTATTATTTTTTATAGTTTTTTTAAACAAATAAACATGCACAGACAAAAATACAAATAATTATACAAAAATACTACAAAAATTCAAAAATTGCACACCAAGGAAAAATCATTTTATTTTGAATTTTTTGGGAGTAATTCTTTCATAGGGCAAAAATCACGTGCTTACAGAACCTACCTCGTAGCTAGAGGGAGAAACGGAGGTGATACACCTGGCTCTAGTGGTGGTAGAGGTGGCTGCAACGGCAAAATCTGCTGCCAGGCCCAAACCTAAGATAAAAGGTTGACATAAAATTTAAGAGTCATTTTGACTATATAGAATTCAGAGTAATGAACAGAGTATCCGAAAATGTTGTCACCTGTAGAAGCGGCAGAAAACCACATATGTCCACCTGGGTGCCCATGCTCGCCCCACACATACTCCTATACAGGTATGCTAGAACAGCAGCACCCCAGTTGTACTGGGGTAACTCATCTAGCTGCTGCAGATGAAGCAGAAAGCGCATACTCACTAGATTTCCCAAAGTGTTCGGTAACAAGACACCCCCAAAAAGAAGGAACAATGCCAATATCGTGTACCGGTCAATAAGGATATCCTCTGTTTTGCCGGTAATAACGAGGTGCAATACCTCCATATGCTCTCTGATAGCTGTCACAGAAATGCGACTGCCCCCTCTAAGTGCAGCCTCACCCTATGGTTTGAAACCAGTATACTGCCCCAGCAAATCCAATTATTGGGGACGCGTCATAGCTCTCATATACTGGGGCAGTGCAACGGCCAGTCCGTCTACACGCAGCCCATACAAAACCTGGAACATCCTGAAGTGTGATGGTGGCCTCTCTAGTGGGCAGGTGAAAAGTGTGCGTTTCCGGTCGCCACTGCTCTATCAACGCCGTGATGAGAGACCAGTTGAGCTGCATCCGCCCAATCTCAAAAATTCTAAGGAAGCCCGTAGCACGCAGGCGATAGACTATGCGGGCATGGAAAACTCTCCCCTTCAAAAATTCCCACAAGTCGTCCGATCTCCTGGCATGGAGAGTCCGATCCAATAGATGTCCCTCCCATATATAGGAGGACCTATGCTCGCCCTGTAACACTAATACCTGATCCGCGGCTGGTCCAGGATGCACATGCGACAAGTCCATGTCGTCTAGTGTAATTTAAACAATATTAATTGTGTGTTTGCGTTATAATAAATTAAATAATTAATTTTATATTTGGACAGTAATTATCTTTGAGTTCCAGGCTCGATATTTGAGGCCCAGTAGCCCCAAACTATCCTTAATTATTATGTGTGTCAATTTCAACATTTTTAGAATTTTAATAAATTAAATAATTAATTTTATAATTGGACATAGTAATTATCTATGAGTTCCAGGCTCGATATTTGAGGCCTAGTAGCACCAAGCTATCCTTAATTATTATATGTGTCAATTTTAATAAGTTTAAAATTTTGTTAGTTTAATAAATTAAATAATTAATTTTATAATTGGACAGAGTAATTATCTATGAGTTCCAGGCTCGATATTTGAGACCCAGTAGCACCAAGCTATCCTTAATTATTATATGTGTCAATTTTAATAAGTTTAAAATTTTGTTAGTTTAATAAATTAAATAATTAATTATTTAATTGGACAGTGTAATTATCTATGAGTTCCAGGCTCGATTTTTGAGTTAATTTGACAATATATATTAATTTGTTAGTTTTGTAAGTTTATTTTATAAATTAAATAATTAATTTTGTAAAGTGTAATTGGATAGCGTTTGTAGTTAGTACATACTTAAACTACAAAGATTCTACGCTAAAAGGCTCTATATTTTACTACGTTAAAAGGCTCTATATTTTACTACGCTATAAGGCTTTATATTTTTACTACGCTAAAAAGCTCTATATTTTACTACGCTAAAAGGCTACTATTCTTTAAGCAAATAAATAATCTAAACTAAATAAAAACAACAAACATATGAACATAACATTCATAAAATTACATATAAAATAATAAAAGATATTTGTGAACAATTTCATTAACAATAAAAATTATTTATCAAGTTTTAACTATTTTTTGTCCCAAGGCTAATAATTCAATCCGACTAAAAATAACATACAAATTTAATTGGAAATATAACACAAATCAACGTGGAAACACATTCAACAAAATAAATATGCATATGCTCTACGAGCTTTGACATAAACTAAATCGAAATACCTCAATTAAGTTTTGAAATATCATAAATTCGAAATTTTGACTCCAAAAGAAGAAATTCAAAGCTTGGGTTGTATGCGGGACCTGCGCTCTTCACTTTTTATGTGACGGGCGGGGGAAAAGATTTTTTTTAATCGCGAGGTGGGGTGGGGGGACCAGCAGTGGTGGGGTGCATTGTTTTTAAAAATGGAAGAAGACAGATCGTGGGGAAGAAGAAGGAGGAGTTATATTTTATTATAGGGAAAGACAGTATAATACTGTATTTTCCTTAAATACAGTACTATACTACGTTTTTATTAAAAAATTAATTTTTTAATAAAACGTAGTATTATACTGCGTTTAACTTTAACGACTAACTTTCCGTTAAAGTAAAACATAGTATTATATAGAAATGTAACCTTTTTTAACTAAATAAACATATTTTAAGTACAAAAAAGGTCATTTACTCAATTGAAAATAGACGTAAAATTTCAATGTACCATAGGGTCCACCCCGTCAATGTCCAAGTCGACGAGCTTCCTTCACGCAGTGGGTTTTCAACAGTCCATCTAGATTGCTACCACTCTATAAATGGCTCAAAAGTCGAGACACAACCTCGCTCTCAATGTACTGCTAATACTTTTCTATTTCTCTCTGCTAGACTAGAAGAAGAAGAATCATATTTTATTTGAGGTGTAAGTGATCAAACGATCAACAATATAATGGCGACGGCGAAAGAGCACATAGAAGAAATAAGGAGAAGCAAGTTCTCCATTGGAGGTGAAACTAATCCACTCACTGAGGACCTTCATCAAGCTGTCAAAAATCTCTCTGCTGAACTTTATGCTAAGGACGTTCACTTTTTCATGGAACTTGTCCAGGTTATTTTTTTCTCCCTTCTCTCTGCATTAATACAGGTTATTGATAGCAATGTTTAATTATTGATTAAAACATTTGCTTCTCATCTATCATAAAATATTTTTATTGTTGGAACCAAATTTCAAACATCGAGGTATCTAAAGAGCAAAAGGGTTGTCAGAAAGCAGAAAATGGTGTATTCGGTACAACGAAAAATCTATGATTTTTTTTTTTATTTAATTTTAAGAAATCATTTTGTTAATTAGTTTTTGTTTGGCTACAAGTAATGCTATAACGTATGGAGATATTTGGATTGTTTTGAGAAAGGTTAACAATGTTTGAGTGAAGCAAGCAATACATTATCTTTTTTATTTTATTTTTATGTATATGGCCAGAAAAAAGTAAACAATATGGGTTATTTGTATAAAAATTCCTTTTTTGCCCATTTTAATAAAACATGTTTCTTCAAGAAATATTTATTTGTAGAATTCAACGTAAACACTTATATTTTTATAGGTGTACCAAAAATTCCGGCAAATATAAGTAAAATATTAGATTGCGTATATAGGTAAAATATTAGATTTTATCTCTCGGAATTCTTTTTTTACTTCTCCCAAGTTTGAACCCTTAGTAAATTCCTTGCTTCGCCACTATCTATTCGTGTTAAGGGGATTTATCATAGACAAATATAATATTTAATCCATATATAGAGGCATATAATATATATTAAATACTCTCTCGAAATTCTTTTTTCACTTCTTTCAAGTTTGAACCCATTAGTAAATTACTGACTTTGCCACTACGTACTTGTACATGTTAAGGGGATTTATCATAGACAAAAATAAAATTTAATCTTATGTACATAATATAATATTTAATCCGTATAATTAATAAATAATTGTAATTCGTAACTGCAGAACGCGGAGGATAACGAGTACCACGAAGGCGTGGACCCGTCGCTGGAATTTGTGATTACTTCCAAAGATATAACGGACACCGGAGCTCAGGCGACGCTTTTGATCTTCAACAACGAGAAAGGATTCTCCCGCAAAAATATCGAGTCCATTTGCAGCGTCGGACGTTCTACTAAGAAGGGCAATCGCAAACGTGGCTACATCGGCGAGAAAGGTAATAAAAAAACTTTGTACAATTTTAGTCTACTACTTGTTCCTATCCATGGCATGTGTATATCAATTGATTGTTCCTAAATATTGATCGTGTGTTCATTTTTGCGTATATTTGGCTCGGTCTGTTTCTGCTTTAATTAGTGAATATTTTCAAGTGCTGCTGCTCTTTGTCATACCTGCTGGTTGCCTTCATGTTTCGTTAATCTTTATATGTTAATTGATAAAAATATCCTCCTTTATGTTTAGAGAACTTAATAGTTGAAGAGAATTCCTAATTTGTTTTAGAAGACTATTTTGTTGTATGGGAATGAGATCGGCCTGAATAGAGCAGAAGGAATACAAAGCTGAACCCAACTTGTATGGGGTTGAGACTTTATGAATTAACTGATTTCTTTCCCCCTACATTTTGAGCTTGACTGACCAAAAAATTAATTTTGAGGGATAATTGCTTTCATGTTGTGACTTCGATAATTGAAATCCAAATAATCAACTGAACCATGTCTGTTTGAAAAGAGAATTGGGTTGTTCTTAAAAAATAAAATAACTGGGTTGTAAGCTGATAAAAGCTAAAGCCTTGCTTTCATTGCAATGAAGTGCTATATTTTTTTTCTCTTCCTCTACCTTATCACATTTCCCCCTCTTTCCTCTACGCTAAAAAAGAGTTGCTAGAAGGAACAATGATATCTTATTATTATTTTGACAAGTGGATCGATGGTATCTTTTCTAGATAATATTACGTTTGTTTCCTTTTAACCTCCTCTTCCCTCTTTTTGGTGCCTAAAAGATATGTCTACAAACACATTGTATTTCAGTTTACATCCCAGCATTGAGATGCAGGTGATAGTTCTGCTTTGTGTTAGTCTCCCATCTTTAAAATCTGACACTCCAATGTTTGGAGATGTGCACTCAAAAGAGACCGCGAACATGATTTTTGAATGAAATTCACTTTAGTGGAGTAGAACTGCATACAATTTTCTCCCTTCAGATACTTGCTTAAAATGTATTCGTTTCAACTTAAATAAGTCATGTAATGCATTCGCGTTTGACTGATCTTCTTATGTTTTTCTTAATTGAATATGCGTATACCTCATCTGTAGTTGTAATTTGTTTCTGAAAGTTCTTGGTGTGTTTCTTCTCTCAGGCATTGGCTTCAAGAGTGTGTTTCTCATCACTGCGCAGCCCTACATCTTCAGCAATGGGTACCAGATACGATTCAGCGAGGAACCTTGCCAGCACTGCAATGTAGGCTATATTGTACCTGAATGGGTGGAGGCAAACCCAACTCTTTCAGTTATAAAACAAATCTATGGGTCTTCTGCTACCCTTCCAGCCACAACTATAGTGCTACCACTGAAACCTGACAAGGTGAAACCAGTTAAGCAGCAGCTTTCAAGCATCCNCCAAATCAACACAAGAAGCAGTCCGGAGTCATTCTAAAAGGCAGACTGTTTTGGATTGGCTTAGAGATGAGGTCAATGTGAGCTCAGCAAATGTGTACGACTATGCTCTTCTGGTTCTTAACTCACTCAGTGATGATCAAAAACTTGCCGTGGCTTTCAGCCACTTCTTACATCAGTCCCTTGCGAGAAATTATTTATCTAAAGAACAAGTTGCTACCTTATGTAGTAAAATGCCGCTTGTTGATAACTATGGACATGTTGCCAGGCAAAGGAAAGGGGTAGTGGTGCCTGCTAATGGAAGTAAATGGGTGCAGTTGATTGGTTCAAACCCGTGGATATATGAAGGCTATGTTGAGCTTGGAGAAGATTATTTGCATTCCGGCAGCTATGCTGGAGTTTGTACCAGCAAGAAAGAGCTTCTGGGATTTCTCAAAATTTATGTTGCAGCTATGGACATTCCTGACTTACCTCCTCCTGATGCAGCAATTTCCAGCTTGTCTTCTCCACTAACCAAGGAAAATGCATTGCTGATGCTAGCATGGATTCGTAAATTGAAAATGAATGGGTTTTCCTTGCCTAGAAGATTCTTAACCTGCATAAGGGAGGGAAGCTGGTTGAGGGTATCTCTGAGTGGTTGCCTTGGCTACAGGCCTCCATCAAAATCATTCTTCCATACTTCATCATGGGGACATCTTTTGCAGAATGGATCAGTTCTTGTAGATATTCCATTAGTTGATCAGGGATTTTATGGAAGTGAATTAAAACAGTACAAGGATGAGTTAAGTACAGCTGGTGTCATGTTTGAATTTAAAGAGGCATGTACATATATTGGAGAACATTTTATGTCTCTGGCAACTTATTCTACTTTAACCAAAGGCCAAGTGATATCAATACTCAATTTCATCAAGTATTTGAGGGAGAAATATCTCTCCCCAGACACCTTCATCAATAGCATTAATGATAGAAGGTGGTTGCGGACTACTCAAGGTGAGAAGACCCCTTTGGAATCTGTCTTCTTTGACAGCGAGTGGAATGCTGCCTCACAGATCAGTGACATCCCATTCATTGACCAAAAA